TTTTTTTTCCCCCTCACCTTTTATTTTTAAAGTTAACTTGGGGTTAAAGGGTTCCTTGGGTTTTTTTTTTTTTTTTTTTTTTTTTTTTTTTTACTAAATCACCTCTAGAACTCCTTCAGTGAAACTGAGTCTTTACCTCATCGGGACCGGGATTGAATTCATATCCGATAGCCACACACTTAAAGCCGTAGAAGCAAGCTTTCTCGTCTTTCACGTAATCTGAGGCAGTTTCAAGAGAAAAGAGAACTTCGTTTCCTGAAGGGAGAGAAGGCGTTGAAATTAAGAGATTTTATACGGTCAGTAAGATGCCTGTGTCAAAGGTTGTATAATAATCTCATTTACAACTAAGAACACTCGTTGACTGATCAATGAAAAACATACTACTCAACTACTGTCTTTAGCATGACAGTGATTCATTTTTCTACCACATTCTTTGTTTAAAATGCTGGCAATACTATCATTAAACGGTACCAAAGACAGTTTTTTCCTGCCTCCTGTGATAATTTGTCTCATCCTTTCTGATACTTGACATCACAACATAATTGACTATTTCAGGATTGTATTGAAATCCTCACATCACAATTGTGGCAACATCAGCAGTGCCACACAGACCTGAGGCTAATAGCTGCTGTCCTGTTAGATTAGTATTGACAAAGTAGTAACATAACACTCTGTGTTCATTCTTTATCTAACCTTGTAGCAACAGCAGACACATGGTTTGCTTAAGCTACCAGAATAAGAGATGTGGTGTCTGGGGAAACATGGAAGCAAAACACAAGGAAGGGAGAATGAACCTCAGGAAGAAAAGACAAGTATACAAAAAGGAGTGAGAGGAAGGAAACAAGAAAATAAATACATATAGAAGGGGAAAATGAGAGAAGGGAGGAAGGACACAAGGAAGGAATGGATGCAAGACAACAGGAAGGTATGGAGGATATGAAGGAAAAACACAAAGAGGGATAGAAGTAAGGACATAAGGAACAGAGGAAGGACTTGTGAGAGAAAGGACAGGAGAAGGACATCAGAAAAAAAAGGAGATAAAGGATAGAAGGAAAAAACATAAGGAATAATGGACACAAATAAGAAAAGAGACATTTATCTAAACTCATCAAGACCTGGAAAACCCTGAAGTCAAATTCCAGGCCTTACCAGACCATGTAGGAACCCTAATTACGATCAACAAAAACAAGAACCGATTTTCCCAGGTGTAATAATCTCACCTGGAAGCACCAGCACGGTGGTGGGCCAGCCAGTGGAGCCTGAGAACTTCCTAAGTTCAGTCCATGTGTTGATGGTGTCGTGGATCAAAGGCTTCCCGCCCAGGTTTGACAGGTGGAGAGTGCGGCTGGGGATGAGCAGCCGAAGGGCGTCCTCCGGCTGCGCGGTCCCGCACTGCGGATCAAACTCTATGGTGGTCCATCGAACACAGTCTGGGAAGGAGACCTGAGAGCAGAAACAACGACTTAAGCGCCTCGCTGCATGTTGTGATGATTTATTGGTACGGTTAAAAGGTGAAGTACCCTATATTGTGTGACCCCAGCTTGCTTGTAAGGGTGGTCGCTCTCGATCACAGAGTAGTGGTTTGAAGTGGTGCAAGCCGACAGGCCGATCTCAGGCTGGTTGCCGGTGGTGCTGTCAGTGGATTGGTTGGGGTTAAAGGAAGGCGGGGCGTATTTTTGGTTGAGGGCAGAAACAGCGGGCAGCAGCTCTTGAACTAGGCCAAAGACCTCAACAGCAGCCTGCAAGAGGAAGAGGAGACATTACACCTCATGATATCAATTAAAGTTTTTTTTTTTTTTTTTTTGGTAGCACTGCTCAAAGCTTGTAGCTTCTACCTTTGGCACAGAGGCAGCAACAGGTCCAATGTAGGCCAGAATGAGCGGCAGCAGCATGGAGAAGAGGCTGGAAGAACTTAACAGCTCTGGAATATCATCAGCTGCAAAGAATATAGGACAACTATTGTAAAACTAAATCTGAATGCATATGTCTTCAGCTTCAAAGTTTCTCCATCATATTAGCTTTTGCACTTACCATCAACTGCAAAAGCCCTGTGGAGAAGGTCCTTTGCAGCTCTGACCACAGCACTGACCACAGACAGAGCTCTGCTGCAGTTCTTGTCCTCCTCGTTGGCTTTGCTGAGCAGCTGAGACTGGAGGTCTCCATCGTATTCACTCCTTCAGTTATTATTTAACAAATGTGTTAAGAAAAAGAAACCTTGTAAACAATATATAAGAATAGATTGGCTCTGTGTTTACCTGTAGTAGAGAATCTGAGGGATCTGACCCCTGGTCTGATTGGTTCCGTTGCTACTCAAGCTGCAAGTGCTGAAGGTGAAGGAAACGCCGTCTGAGCACTGCACCGTCGTCATACCTCCGTCCCCATTGGCCGTCCTGCTGCCGTAGTTGCGCAACCGAACAGCGTATTTCACCCCTTCCTACGGCAGAAAATAATTCACACTTTAACACTCAGCTGCAGATCTTTGAAGCTTGACAGAAATCCCTAAATGGGCTGTTCCAGAATGATCAAGCACCTTTAGCGGCACCGCCTTGTCCAAGCGGATCTCCGCAATATCGCTGGGAGAGTCATCAGTGCTGTAGGTGCCCTTCACCAGCTCTAAAGACGTCCACCTGTGAGAATGTGCTGAGTCGCCAGGGTGTTCCGTCTGCGCCTGAAGGACACGTATACGAAAGTTGGAAATACTTTTTTTTTTTTTTTTTTTGAAAACCAGCCAAGCAGCTAAGAGTTATGAAAAGCTAATCTAGGCAGAAAAGACTTATGAGCGCTTACGTCGTCAGCCAGCACCTCCAGCTCGTACTCATGGATGCCCCCTCCTCCGTAGACGCAGACCCCGACCAGCACGACGCCCGGCTTGTCCACCATCAGACAGATGGCGTCTGGCGAGCCGTTGCCTGTGTTCCAGCTGCGACCTTGGCTTGTTTTGGTGAAGCGGTTTGGAGATGCTTTCACAGAGTGGAGTGAGTTCAGTCCATCAACCTGATAAAAGAAGCACACAGTAGACATGTACCCAACAGCTTAAGTTTATTGAGAAATTAGCAGCAATGGTTACAGCAAGGCAAAACGGTATATAATAAGTGACATGGATCAGGTCGAATATTAAACAAATAAATGCAATATACAACTAGGGATGAACTGATACAAAAAAAAATTGGGTATCTATATCCAATACATATTGCCATTATGGCCGATATGATGAGATGCCAATTGAGTTCAAAATATCAACTCAATTATTTTGTCTTTAAGATAAAAGTGAATTATGATTTTACAACAACCGACTCTCCTAGACAGTGAGTCGTTGTTAGTGCTACTAAAGTAAATAATGGTGGCTTATGGCAGAAAGGCTAAAAAGGAATGCTCTTAATTATAACTACTATGGAGAAATTGGATTTAGCTGAAACTGTTTTAGCAGGTTAAGCCTGTACAGTAATTCAAACCAGGAACCAACAAGAAATCTCCGATTCCAAATGACAGGATTACAGAAAACTATGAAAATATACTATCAAATAAACTATCTCCCAATGATTATACAGAAAAAATAAAGTTGCCATTTCTTCCACCCTGATGGGAGTTAAGGACCAGACAACTGCTGAGATACCCAATCGGGTACACCGGGGAGGAAAAAGTTGTTTCCCTGACAACAGACTGAGGAGAAAAACATTGCTGTGGGGGGGGGCTGCTGTCAAGTGACATTGCCATGGCAACAGGATTCCTGACTGCAGCGACTGATGATAATAATAGGGAGTGTGCATGCAAGGAAGGCTGACAAGCATTTGGCCACTCCTATCTAATGACTCATCAAAACATAAAGGACAACAGAATGCCCCTCCGCCCTCCTTCAGTTTGTTGCCATTTTTTTTTTTTAACAGGAAGGACAAAGCGTCCGTTACTGTCACGAGCTAGTTTGGTGACAGTTTAAATTAAATTAAATGGCAAAAGATCGCTAATAAGCAGAGGGAAGAAAAGGTCTAGGTGTGACATTTGATTAAATAATGAGGAAGAAGATTCAAGTCATTTGATAAACCAAGAGACAGAAACATGACATGAAAATGCAAAAAGCATAAATATCAAAGTTACGTTAAGCACTAAAGATTGCTTTTGTGTATATGCTCTAACCCCCACCCCCCAAAAAAAAAAACAACAAAAAAAAACAGGTCACTGAGTGAACATAAAGCTCATGATGATGGTGAGGTGTTTGCCAAACCCAAGCCTCGAGGCAAACGCTCTTGTTGTTTGTGTTTTGTTGCTCTCAGTGAAGTGGATGTGAAGCTACCTCAGAGCCCATGGCGGACGCGGTGAGCTCAGAGACGATGGAGGCCAGCAGCCCGCAGGTGTTGGAGACCAGGTGAGGGGAGAACAGCTCCACTTCCTTCCTCAGAGTCTTCCTCACCGGCAGCACCACGATCACCAGCATCTTCTCCAGCACTTCTCGGAAACTGGTCATACCCATCAGGTTCTCCTCGGTCTGAAACAGGAAGCCACGCTGATGTAACCGAGTTAAAACACATTTTTCTTTCCATTTGAACACTTCATACGTCTCTAGATTAAAATGTGAAGATTTTGGTCCATTTTCATTTTTTTTATTTTATTATCTTTATGCAATGGAAATCACAAAGCTCAAGTTGGCTCCTGATTTAGTATAGAAAATTCAAATCTATGATTTGGTGAAATGGATAAGTCGACCACTAAATACAGATTTTTTTTAAATTTTTTATTTACAGCCGAGTTCATAACCTGGGGTTGCTGGGATATGTAGTGGTTTTAATTCCTTTTTTGGAATCAGTTTTTTTGTATCCATGAGTCCAATTGAAGACCCAAAACAGGTGAAATGGCCGCAGGTGATTTCTGAATGTGCATGTATATCACTGGGATTCATATTAGTGACTGTGACAAAACTGAATTTGTGAATTGTCAAAAAAAAAAAAAAAAACCAGAATATGTGTAATTTCCATATAATTGAGTAAACATTTCTCTGTAATTGGTTTTCGTCTTTCCACACTTATCCAAAAATGTAAAACAATAAAAGCAAATTCCATAGAAAGAGTTACGCAAGATTCAAGTAAATCTATTCACAGGGTGAATATCACTGCTGTCAAAACTTACATGGCTTAGTTTCTCCATATGGGCCACCAGCAGGGGGAAGCGATGAGCAAGGGCAGAGTCATTCTCTGTGCTGACTTGCTTCACTAATGAACGCAGCAGCACTTCTCCATCGTATGCAATGGGCAAGATGGATGTCAGCTTGACTGAAGTCTTACAAAGAGCTGACATTACAGCTGCCAGCAGACGGCTGCTGGATGTGCGAAAATTTGCCTCAGCAATGTCCTGGATTACAAGGAGAGAGAGAGAATTTTTTTTATTTATTTATTTTCTCAGAGTGCAGGTAAATTTTAGCTTCTGGAAGAATGAAATCCTCCTACCTGGTCCAGACAGTTGAGCAGATCACAAAGACAAGCCCACTGCAGAGCTGGAGTTGGGTAGAAGGAGTGAAAGCAAGCGGTGAATGTGTTGTGGCACTCCTGCAGCACAGCTTCCAGCAAGGTAAGAGGCTGAGACAGGTAGCCCTGAGGGTCATTATCCAGTTTAGTCAGGCAGTTATCCATGCCTTCTGACAGGATCTTCTTCAGCAGGCTGCGCGTCTTTCCCACACACTCGGCCAGCTTGCTGGACTCCTCCACCACAGCTTTGGTGCTGGCTGTAAATCGGAGACAGAACAGAGCATTTTGATTCTTGCAATGAATAGAAGCTGTGTTTATTTTATTGTTTTCTGTAAGAATACCTGCGTATAGGAAAAATCACATTAAAAATAGCACACTGGTTTCTTTTACGGCCGCAGCTAATGATTATCTTAGTAATCAATTAATCTTACAATTATTCTGATTAAAAATATGCACAGTCTACAGATTTAACCACTTAGGCCTTTTTTTTATACAATATTAAAAGTACATTCAAAGATTCAAATAAACAATTAAACTTTTTTTTAAATAAGAAAAACATTTTACTGCCTAAAATACAGTACCATAGCATTCCTTTTGTAAATCTGAACCAGTTGAAGCTAAAACTATACTAAGCGAGTGTATAGTTTTGTAGAGTTTTGGCTTAATTACTGCTCTGAAATGTTTTTCACCAAAAGGCCTTTTTTGAGTATGTGTGCTCAATTTAACAATCAATCGATTACTAACTCAATCGGATTAATATTTAATCCAATTGATCGGATTAAGCAGTTTCTGTGTTGCAAAGACATGTTAAAGATTCAACATCTTTCATTCCAAGTAATGTGTTTTGAACATTTTGTTCTCAAATCTTTTTAGCCCTTTTTTAATTAAAGAGTACAGAAGTTAATGAGGAACTTATAGTATATATTTTCTTCATTGCTCAGTCTTTAAATATACAAGGCTCCTACAATTTGTCCATTTAAATATTCTATACTTATTACACAAGCATTTTTTCTAGATTTGTTCCACAGGTTTTTATGCAATTCTGGACGTTCAAGCACAACACTCAGGACTATCCATAGGAGCCAAGAACATGTAAAGCAGGGGGGATGGATGAATGCATTTGAAAAAGAAAATAAAGTGTGAATTCTGTAATCCTGTAACGGACAAGCAATTCTGTGAATTCTGTACTTTGCTTTTATCTAGACCTGAAAAACACTTAGATTAGACAACATATTTTTTCCAGACTCTACAGGCGTTCTTACCTGCAATGGGGAATATCTCACAGATGTAAACCCTGAGCAGGCGGAGGCAGCACGTGCCAACAAAGCGGAGTCTCTCCAGGTCCAGCAGCGTTGCCGTGTACTGGAAACCCTTCAGCCCTCGAAGCTCCTCCACTCCCAACACCAGGGTGGTCCAGCTCCAGTGAAGAACACTCAGCAGAGACTCAAAACACTCCTACAAGCAAAGTGATAGCCAAAAAAAAAAAAAAACAACTTACAAACATAGTTATTACCAAAACACACACACAAAAAAAATATGCTCACCACGGAGACCGTCCGAGCAAATGACCGCTTCAGGATGTGAACTGGTTCACTGGTTTGCTGTTTTCCTTTGGAAGCATTGCCATCGTGGGATGGAAGCCTAGTGTTAAACATCAAAATTTATAACCCATTTCTTTATTATATTTACCCAGTTGCTCTTAAATGTGCAATATAAATAAACTTGATTTGAAATTTGATAACAAACCTACAGGCAGACACAGAGCCTTGAAAGTAATAAAACATGTTGGTCTACATGCAAAACATTGTGTGGTGGAAAAGTGACACTTTGAGTATGTTATGGTGGCAGCAGCATCATGCTGTGGGGCTGCATTACTTTAGCAGAGAAAAATGGAATTGTCACAACTGATATGAAACACAGAGAGCTAAATACAGGATAATGATGGGCAACACTTTCAGCCTCTAAATGCACACCACACTTTTCAGATTTTCCATCTACTTCACAATTATGTTTTACTTTGTGTTGGACTACGATTGCGATTAAAACATGACAAAGTGTGGAAAAATATAAAGTATATGAATATTTTTCCCAGGCATTGGACTGCTTAAATAACTTTCAACAGAATGTAGAAATGTAGCTCTGCTTGCCTGTAGAGTAGCTGAGGTATCTGACCCGCATTAACATCTGTACCATTGTTGGATTTCTTGGAGCTTTTGAACTGGAAGACAACACTAAAAAAGCAAAAAAAAAAAAAAAAAAAAAAAATACATACATTTGATACACTAATTCAAGGGGATAACAATATTTATTAGCTTAAATGCAATAATGTTTCACCCGTCGTCAGTTGTAATGGTTGCCTGTCCGTGGGAACCGCAGTCGCTGCTGGGGCCAGAGACTCTGGCCCACGCCACGTACCACCAGCCCAGCTGCAGCAGCACTGGCTCGTCAAACATCATGGCGTATTTCTCCCTGGAAACGTAAAGAACCATCAATTTAAGCCGAGCAAGAAGGCAGATCACAAAAAGAGCAAAGGACATTAAGGGGAACTTGATGTACTAATGGGGAAAAAAAACAAGGAAACGTCATTCGTACCTGGCAGCACAGTCGTAAGCCAGAACATCGGTCTCAGCCAGCAGATCTCCATCAGTCTCATGGTCACCTCCGTCGGGTCCCAGCTCAAAAAGCTACACATTTTGTTTAAGGAAGGAGTCTCTTATTCTTTTTTTAAAAGTTTGAGTACTACATTACAACTACTAACAACATTTATATGTGCAAAATACTCTAAGCAGCACATGTTAAGAGGTTAAATGATCAGCTCTTACAGGAAATGACCAAAATTTCCCACCTTGATCTTGGCTGTGTACTCCCCTCGTCCGCCGAACAGGCCCAGCCCACCCAGCAGGATGTCGGCATCGGCACAGAAACGGATGGCTTCCACAGAGTGAGCCGAGTAACCCCAGCCACCTCCGTGACCTATGAGATTAATCATGGCATCAATGAGGCTAAGCTATTCTGACTAAAAAGAGTTAATTTGCCATCAGTTGTAAATAGGGTTTCTCAGAGTTTATTGGAGATTTTTTTTTTTTTTTTTTTTGAAAAATTCCCTGGTGTTCTAGTTTCAGATTCGAAGCGTTTCAAGACAGTTTTTAAAATATAAATGAAAAACGGTAGTCTCTGACATATTTATGGATTTGTACAAATATAGAACCAGCAAACAAAACTGAACAGATTGAAAGGGCAAAGCTTTTAAACAGGAGGACAAGGAGTAAAATCTAGAAAAAAATGAAATAAATCAAATACATGTTGATAGGTTGGTTTATAAACTGAAGACTTTAAACTTTTTATTTCTGGATATTTTTTTTTTTCAGTAATTCAAGCAACAACCAAAATCTGTGCATTGGCCTTCACTCTGAGCATTAACTCCATCTTACTTTCAAAGCGGTTTACAATGCTGTAGTCCTCCTTTGAGTAGACCTTCATCACTGCCTGGGTTTCTTCTTCTGCGCTCGCTACGCCCATCTTCAGCTCCTGCATGGCGGCTAATGTATCCAGGCAACCTGCAGTGAGAAAAAACAGTTTTTCAGCACATCAACTAATTCTGATCACGTTAGTTTACCTCTTAGCTCACAAATAATACTCTAATTTTGCTAGTACAAAACAGCATAATAATAAAATTTACAAGGATTTACAAAAAAAAAACAGGTGTTACTTATTTTTACAAGATGCTGACATGGTAATACTTATAATTAAATTAAATTAAATTAAAAAAATTATAAATAAATCATTGGACATCTCAACAAGCGTTTATTAAATGCCATGTCAGGAATATGAGGATTACCGAGAATGTGTAGAGCTCCATGAGAGCGAGTGGTGGTCGCATGCGATCCCGAGGGCAATGCAAGTTCTGGACTGAGAATGCCACAACGAGCCTGTAGATCTGTTGCAGAGGGCATCCTAGCATCGGCTATTACCGCGTTGTAACACCACATCTCTTTTGAAGCCGGAAGGAACCTTCAAAAAAATAGTTGGGGGGTTAAAAGATTTTAAGTCCAGTCTTTATTTTTACAATCAAGCAAATACTGAGAAGCTGTTCATTTCAAAGACTTACCTCCATATGACATCATAAACCGGGTCCAGACAGAGGCCGAACCCCTGCAGGTCCTCCTGCTCAGAGTCGTTGAATGTTCTGCAGCTTCCGTCCATCTTGTTGATCAGCAAACATTTAAAAGGAGGCGGCTCAGACGCAGAGGATGGAACGAGCCCGATGATGTGCTTGCTGGCAAAGATCTCAGAAGTGGCCAGGACGTGAGAGTTGATGAGGGCCTCGTCGATCCGCAGGAACGTCTGATCTCCGCTGGCTCCGATCCAGGTGGCCTTTCGTCCGTATTTGGCACCGATGTTGGGCATGGGTGACGGCTTGGCGTTCCAGTAGGGCATGTCCAGGATGGGCCGGCCCAACTGCCCTTTCTGCAAAGCAAGCGAACATTCAGACTGAAATGCAAAAGAAATGCACTCAAGCAAACAAGCGCTTATTACGTAAAGATCTGAGCGAGGTACGGGTATTACACCAAAATTTTGAACATCACGGTTTCAAAATTGATAAAAAAATTTTCCATCGTATGGTGAAGTTTTTTAATAAGATGGCAGAATTGATTTTGTCGTTGCCATTTGACAAAACAAATTAGATCACATTATGTTTTAGTTTTCTATATTAACAGGATAACTGCGGGGATTCAGCAAGTAAAATTCAAGACTTTTTAAGGCTATCTTGAATAAAATTTAAGGCTAAAATATTATAAAACAGGGAGCCGTTGGGGGATTCTGCTGTACTACGATCAAACATCTCAAAAACTGTAATTTCTGGGATCTGTTTGTGGCTCTAGGCAGCAGCTTTGTCCTTCTCACACCGCATAGCCTCAACCGCCTTAGCGCCCAGTTTAAAAGTTTTTTTGTTTTGTTTTCTTTTTGCGCTTAGTCTCATATAGGTTCACAAAAGAAGTGAGAAAGCGGTGAAAACAATAAAGATGTCTGCACTTGACTCAAACTTTCATCCAACAGAAATATTCCTCAAGACAAAAAAAACACTACCTAACTCTTCAAGATTAAACAGTCCAAAATTTAAGACCTGTAACATATTTAAGGCCAACTTGCATTTTCCCAATAAATTTAAGACATTTTAAGGACATGCGGACACCCTGATCAATACTGTCAAATCATAATTTTTACTCAACTTTATCATGCCATGAGAATTATCCAGACCATGTGTAGGAAGAAGACTGTATTGCTACATTTTCTCACCGAGAAACTCCCAAAAGTGAAGACCTGCCCATCCATGAGGAGAACAGCCGTGTGGTTACTTCCTGCCGTCACCTGGATGCTCGGTCCCGGCAGAGCCTGAACCAGAGTCGGAGAGCCCCTGCATGGTAGAAATGTTGAATTAGCTGGCTAGTTTGGAGAACTGCCTGTGTTTCAACAACCTAACCCATTAAACGGATCTGGGCTCCAGAATGGAGCTGCAGAACTCCGGCTATTGTGGCCATTCCTATGGCAAACCATCAATCTGTTTACCTGGAGTTGACGTCTCCATGACCAAGCTGACCGTGTTGGCCATACCCAAACGTGAAGACATCTCCATTCTCCATCAGCACCACTGTAAAGCAAGTTTTGTTTACAGCAACCAGACAAAACCACCAAAGAGCTAAAGCAGCAACGACGAGAAAGCGCTTACCTGAGTGGTGAAAACCACAGCTGACTTGAACGGCTCGCAGCTCGCTGTCGAACCTCACCGCCCCGGGGGGATAAGTGGTAATTTTGCTGGCATCCTTCTCTCCGCGCTCGCTGCTACCATCTAGAAGAAAAACACTGAAGTCAGCACATCTGAGCGGAGGGTAAATACAGAGAAGTGTAGTGGCGGCTTTAGAGCGCCGAGGCGGGTGTCTCTGCAGAGTCCTGAGAAACAGAGCTGGAGGGGAAAGAGGACTCAAAAGAAAATGAGAGGAAAAAAGGGGAAAACATGCTGGAATAGAAGGGAGGGGCTAACGGTTGTGCAGGAAAAGAGCCGTTTGGCATCGGGGCATTTTAAATTCAAAATTTCTCACATGCATTAGTCCAAAAAGAGTCAAAAAAAAATAAATCACAGGGGTAAAGTATGACTGGACATTTTCTCAATGTTTTTGAACCCGGGACGGTTTAAAAAAAAAAAAAAAAAAAAAAAAAAAAAAACTAATTTTACAGTGAAGGAATAATCTTCTGCTTTCTTCAACACCCTCACTCAGCAACCTATCCCTGCTTCTTTTTTTTTTTTTTTTTTTTTTTTAGGGAGGGCCCTGGGGCACAAATTTCTGTAGGTTCTGGATAATTCACCGATTAGCTAGGTCTGCAACGCTACTGTCCTCTGCAAATCTGAACGGCTCACCAAATCTGAACTGTTCAGAAACAGGCAGCTCAAAACAAACTAACAAGCGTGTGTTGCAGATTCTGAGACAGCAGGTATGTCATGCAGTAAAATAAACACTCTGCAAATAACTAAAATAAAGACACAAAAAAGGAAATGTGAAAAAGTAGCGCAATATCATTACTTTACAGAAGAACGGGAAAACGCACATGACAAGGGTCGTACCATTACAGGATATTTTCCATAGATATTGAAGCCAATTCTGACTTTTGCCCTTAGAAAACCATTTTTAAAAATGCATAAACAGACGTATTACAGAGGCCGATATGATGGCAGGATAATAATTGACTAAATGTTATAGTTCCAAGAACTTGGAAAGGATTGGGAGTGCCCAGATCATTCTTGCAACAAAAAAAAAAGAAAAATGAGCAAAATTCATGAATTATTAATGATTGTTGCTAATTTTTCATTTACCAATAACAGTTTCACTAACTAAACTCATCTCCTGATCCATGTTGTGCAGTCACATTTTGCTCAGCCAACTTTGTACAATAACTTTCTTTCGGTGTGCAGAACTGACTTTGCACATTATTTTGCTGATCTAAAAAAATATATATATACATCTGTATTTTCCCAAAAAAGTTTAAGTATTTTTCATTATTATTTATAATGGAAATAAAAGAGAAACCGTGTTGGCTGCTGCAGCTTTCTGTTTCCACACATTATACACATCTTCCAGTTTAGGAAAGATCTGCTTAAAGTGCAACAAGAACACCAGCTGTCAGTTTTACACCTTTTAGAACAAAGTAGTGCATTTATGAAGCAGTTAATGGCTTTCACACGCTTAGGCGGATTAAGTGAAATATGTTACTAGTATAACTAAAATAACTCACATCTAAAGAAAGAATAACCTTTTGAGTCTTAGTCTAGGAATGGTTAATTATTGCATTATTTATAATTATTTTGTGAAAAGCAAGTTATTTTTAAGAGCGGTAATTTTGTTTATGGCCTTTAACTATATGCAGGGATACACAATGACATACAACCTAAAATTCTAAACCTGTGTCCGTAAATTTGTCCAACTAAAACTGGTCATAAAAGCCTCAGCAGGAGCAAGCCATTAGTTTACCGACGACTGGCTTTATGTGTAAAATAAAATCAGATGCATTTTTAGAAACAAAAAAGTTTTGCTGAGACAAAATATGTTGCTGTCAAGACAAATGGCCACTGCAGCATCAAGGATGTCATTAATGGTTCATAGTACTGTGAAACTGATCTAGAAATGGTTTACGCATAGAATTGTTTTAATGAAGCATGTTAGTATCGGGGACAATAAAAAAAAATTAAAAAAAGCTAATCAGCAAATCCCTAATTATAACCCTTTTCTGTAAAGAAGTCTTTAACTAGCTGTACTGAGTTTACAGTCCTCCATGCCAGCAGGTGTTTATCCTGGTGCAGACTTTAAAGAGTCCTTCCTTCAGAGAGTGAAAGGAGGTGGACGGGACAGCCAGATTGGGAGATGGGTCAAAGGGGCGTCTCCGCACCCACTGAATTAGTGAAGACCATAGTACCTTTGTGCTTGTCCCGTTTATGCCTGAGTGCCTGAAGGGGTCTTATTCTGGCTAGGGCCTGCTCACGCTGGTTCATAAAAATGGGACCAGGAAAAACAAGGGGGCCTGGGGGAGAAAAAAACTTTCACATGCATGCACAATGCTCACAAATGGGATAGAAATACATGGTAATACTACATCACAATAATACACAGACACGGATAAATATGCGACAAGGAAGAGGGAAGTCACCAAGGCACACAAAACCCAAGCTCTTGCCTCACATCTGTAAACAATCCAAAACTTAAAAAAAAAAAAAAAAAAAAAAAAAAAAAAAGGATAGACCTACTGTCTGTCAATCCACATTTCTATAATCCATCCCAGCAGCCAGGTATCCTGAATATCCCCAACCAAAACTCTGAAGCATTAAAACGTTATTTCCAAACTGCATTCTTCTCCAAAATCTTTTGGCCCATACCTCTTCCCTCCTCCAACCTATGCCGGCGGTTGATTCTCTGACGCTTCTCCTCCTGGCGGATCTGAAGGTGCTCTTCGATGTTAACTCCTGGAGGGGGAGGGACAGGCACAGCTGAAAACATAAAAGGCCCCGGGGTAAAGGGGGCCCCAAAAGGGATGAAGGCGGAGGTGGGAGGATGAGGCAGAGCAGAGCAGAACAAGACAAACATCAATGAGCGAAGGAGGGACTTGATGGAGAGAGCAAGTGACTGTGCAACACAAGCATTTTAACAAAGAGTGAACACTGACAAGTTTATGAAATACAGCATTCAGACAACTGCAAAGAAGAACGTAATATTGGCAGCGTGTTGTGTACTAATGGCCTTAAACAACGGCTCGTGTATTTTCAACTTTTTCACATTACAACCGACAAACCAAACAGTTACGTCTTTGGGAGTTTATGACTCAGTCAAACACAAACTAGTACATGATTGTGAAGTGGAACAATTGATTTTCTACTTAACAAGAAACTAAAAAAATATAACTTGGATCTGACATCGACCCACTGCAGCCAATACTTTGTAGAACTGGCTCTCACTGCAATTACAGCTGTAAGTCTTTTGAGTTAAGTTTGAACCAGCTCAGCACATCTGGCTCTGGCTGTATGTCTTCCAGCCTCAAACTGTATTTTTTTTTTTTTTTTTTTTTTTTAGCTCAAACACAATACAATTATACTTGCATGTGAATTATACTTTTCCAATCTAGAAAATCATTTATCATTTTCATTCCACTTCCCAATTGTGCACTACTTTTTGACTCACAACATAAAATCCCAGCAAAATACAGCAAAGTTTGTCACTGCAACGTGATAAAAAGTTAAGTTCAAGGTTTGAAGATGCTTTTGCAAGGTACTGCATGTGAAGGCAAGTGTTCATGAAGACCTCAGAAACACACCACTCACACTTTGACGTACAGCACTATGCAAAAGGCTTGGGTCATTTATTTAAATTTTGCTTTAAAGCAGCCAGACTGGAGAAAACCTCTAAAGTCTCAAAATCTTTCTTTTCTTTTCATTTCTGATTAGTTCTTTGTACCCGACAAGAAAGAAGCACTGAGCAGAGTCTGCACACAATGGAAATGGTGCACAAGCAGCAGACAAAATAAACAGAACTGGGCCTTAAAACACACTGCATCTACAACAAATGATCAGCATCTGAAGCTGATATCCTTAGGAAAATGTCAGAAAGAATAAAGGCTGGACTGAAAGTGGGAGGCAGAGCAAGTTCTCTTATTGTCCGTTTTTCTTTAGGAATGTCTTGACGTGTCGCACTTTGTTTTAATTTTTATGCATTTCTTTTTCTTTTTTTATAAATTTAACAAAATAAATTAGAGGCCTGAAAAACAGTGGTAAGAGTACAGCTTTAAACAAATTCTAAAAATTCATTATACAAGCAATGAGTCAAAGCTTTTGTATATTGTTCTAATTTAGACGGTAATTTTCTTTTTCCTAATCAATTTTAGAGACACTATTACACCAATGAACAATTGACTCATAAATGTGCTTAAGATTGTAACATGCATATGACTTGGTTTTATGTGAGACACAAACAAGAGGAGTGATGAGTTTGCTGCAAACCATTTATGTACAAACAAAAAAAAAACAAAAATGAAAATTAAATGTGAAAATGCAAAAAATAGAATATATATTTATATAAAATTTTATTTCAATCAAAAGTTTATTTAAAATATTTAGAGACTGATTACTTAAATAAATTAAAGTTACTTTTTATAAATATAGCAAATCCAAATGAGATTTTCCTATTTTGCTACAACGGACTTCTACAAGCACATAAATTAAGTTGTATTATATAAGACAACTGAACAGAGGTCTTTTTAATATATTAATTTGTATTTTTTGTATTCCATTCAGATTTCTCTAAAAAAAAAAAAAAAAGTTTCATTTTACTTTCGTAGAGCTGTAGCAAAACGTTTGAGTCGTATGTGATGATATGGCATGAATGTCAGGATAATTTGGCAACAATTAATTTTTTTATTTTATTTTATTTATTTATTTTTTGACTAGATCGCATTCGACCTCTAAACATGACTCAAAGTGGAAGGTACTTGCAAACATCCATGCTTATACTTTGTCTGTTTGCATGCTTAATTAAAATGAGGCTTAAAGTGATAAGACACGAGTGGTGCAATACCTAGGAGCAGATCCAGTGGAATCATCTCCTTCACAGCATCAAAGATCCCCCGCTGCCGGGCCTCCTGACCGTCCAGCTCCCTGGCGCAGGCCTTACAGCAACCACACGCTGAGCAGCCAGACTCTCCAGACCCACAACCACAGATACTAGCCCAGAGATAAACACAAACAGATTAAAGTTATTAATTATAATGTAACAAATGATCTTTTAACGCACTGCGCATAAACACGTTCTTATTCCATCGCCGGCTTACCCTCCTGGTACTCTGTCTGGTCGCCCACTGCTGACACAACTGGCACCGTACCCAGTGCAGTCTCCACACACGGTGCAAACCATGCACTGGTCCAGCTTCCACTTGTGCATGCCCGGCTGACACATCATGCTCTTCTCTTCCTTGTCCTCCAGCTCGTCCTCCAAGTCCTCATCCATGGCCGTGGCCATGCTCTCAACGCCGAATGCTGCAATAAACACGAGCACCACCAGAACGATAAATTAGTCTGAGGACATCGTAGTGCTAATGTACGTCTATTATAATCGCGGGTGTGTATTTTATTGGTTTAATCTGCCGTCCATCTGCTCACCTTTCCCTGCCTGGCTCATGGCTCCAGTGTCTCTGCCACACTGGCCCTTGTTATTGACCCCAAATGTCCACACTTCTCCGTTCTTAGTGAGGACACATGTATGAGCCTTCCCCATGGCAACCTGAGTTACAAAATGGCCTTTAAGGTCTGTCACTTGGCCTGTGGAGAGACATGAAACGATTATGACAAAACAAAAACAAAAAAAATCCTGTTCAAGCGAGTGTCAAACTTGCTCTTAAAAGAAAGGCTGAAATACTCCTGTCGACTTACAGGTGCTGTCACTGTAAATGGCGTCCTTGCCAAACATATAAAGCTCTCCGTCCTTTGTGACGATGCTGCTGCTGCCGTTGTTGCAAGCAGTGTACACGGCTGTCTTTGTCTCCAGTTTTATCATCTTCTTGGGTTTGTACGGCTTGGGCTGCCTGCGGCTTTTAGCTGCAACGGGAAATAAGACGTCTGCTTAAATCAACACCCAATGTTACTCTATGAATGCTTGAATGTAGTTGGGAATATATCCTACTGGATTCCCCGTCTTCTCCCTTGCTGGCAGAGCCGGTGAAGAAAACGCTCCCGTCTTCAGCCACTAGAAGGGCGTGGGAGCCGTCATGGCCGACCGAGAACTGAATGATCTTCGGAGACTTTGTGATGGGCAGCTCCACCCATTTTCCGGCTGATGGGCCACCCTGCTTAATACCCAGGCTCTGGTACTTTCCTGTGTAGTAGATCTGAGAAAAGAACATATTGGAAGATTGTTGGAGAACTGCTGGCTATGCTTGTTGAAAATAGTTAAAATTAAGTTTTTAATTTTAAAGTCAAAGAAAATTTTCTCACACACCATGGTAGAGTTTCAACCTCCTTAACAACAACAACAACAAAAGAAAATCAAGAAATAAACTGTTACAGGCTTGATAGTCTGAAATCAGCTTTTTTTTTTTGGTTTGCTGCAGGCAGGGAGCGAGACCAGACGCAGATTTGCAAGAACGACAAAGACAAGAAGAGGAAGAATAAAGCTGCAGCTTAGTCGTATTCCTCACTTTGCTCTTTATTCATCGCCGAGGTAAATATTGGCAAAGTAATAGCATGGAAACCTTAATTTAGGTGAGTGACAATTATGTTAGCTGACATCATTTATGAGGAACACCAATGCTTCAGTTCTTTAAAAGTGGCCAAAATTAAAAATCATACGCTAAAAACAATCAATTTTCCAATAAAAAGTCTGTATTATTTATCAGTCTTAGGAAGTAGAGTTATAGTAAAATAGAAAAATATGTGGATGGTATTCACATACATATTCACAATAATAATTTGGATAAATGATTATTAAAAATTTATTTATAATCAATTATAATTATTATTATTACGTTGGTAGAGTGAACAGGAGAGAATAAACCAAATAACAAACCAAAGGTCATGTTGTTTTGGTAGATGACACAGTAATCTAGATGCTAACTGATGTGTTGCATCACAATAGATTTTTTTTTTAATCTATTGTTAAAAAATTAATCTTTTTTTTTATTTCAATGACCATTATAAATACTGAAGACATAACAAAGATGGTGTGCAGAGGGAGGGGGGAAAAACTGCAGATAAAATGCTTTGAAATCAGGCACATAAAATGTGCAGCCTGTTGCTAACATGAGCTATCTGCCAAAGAGGCACACTGCACCACACCTAGACTCAACGTACAACCAACCACGCCCTGCAACACACCCTAAACCACCTAACATAGTAAGCGCTCTCATCAAGATGAGACACTTCTGAAAATATGCAAATTATTTACTTCAACTTAGTGCTGACTGAATGTGCTCCAAAGAAAATGAGTTATCGCACACATGCTGCAGTTTCACTGGTAGGAGCTTCAATTTTTCTAAAAACATGCTACTAGGCTTAATTAGGATAAAGAGCCTCTGAAAAAAATTAACTCCTACTAGCTCGGTTAATACAGCTTCTACGGGCCAAGTATATGTTATTTAGAAAATTATTAATGGCATCTGTAAAGTGGGGGAAAAGAGCACTGAAACGACTTACATAAACTTTTTAGTGGCAGAGAGTTTGGCTTACCCTTATCAAGATAAAAGCTTAGCTGTTGACGCTGCGCTAACTTTCATTACTCTTAAATGTTCAGACACCCGACTGCTCACCTTTCCAGAGGCAGTTTTCATCAGAGCAAACTCCCTGCCAGCTCCAAGCAATGCTGCCTCTTCATCAAAGCCAGTGCCTGGGAGAAAAACAGATGACTGAAAAAAAAGAAGAAAAAAAAACATCCTGCAGGATAGCATGAATTTAAAATGAAAAAAACTAAAACATTTTTTCTAGCCTATCACACACCCCTACAACAACTAAGTACTTGTTGCAGCTGTAAAGCCCCATATGACACTCAGGACCCACAGACTCGTTTTGTATCACTTACTGATGATGTGTAGATCCTTTTCAAGGTCGAAGAGAGAGATGCCACAGGCGTGCAGGCACTTCCTCGCCAGCTTCAGCTGCAGCTCCTGCTGCAGAGCCGGGTCTGAACTCATGGTATAGATCCGCACAACAAAACCGTCCTGCAGGAGCGAGGGCATCACAGAGGGGGAAACGTCGTTTGACTTCACAACACAAAACTGTTACAGTTTGGCATCTAAGGCATGTTAAACACAAACACCGTCACTGAATGTTGTTTACCCAGTTGCAACCATTTAAACAATCAGTAAGTTCAGTTTTCGACGCAAATGGCGTCTTGCAGGTACAAAAAAAAAAATAATTTCAGATGAATCACATCTGGACCCATCTGAAATGAGCACGGTCTGTCACACATTTCTTGTGCTCCTTAAATTGAATAGTTTTTGGGGGAGTTTTTTTAGATAAAGAGGACAGAATGCAAATGCATGCCACACTTTCCAGATTTTTATTTTGCAACAGATCTTGAAAAGATCTTTTCATTTCACAGCTCCGGGCAACTTTGTGTTGGTCACAAAATATCCCAAATAAATACATGGAGGTCTGTGGTTGTAACATGCCAAAATGTGGACAGAGTTGAGGGATTAGAACATGTTTCTATTAGCTGCAGAAAATCTGGTTTAGATAACAAATACATGCACAATCTTTTCTTTTTTTTTATTAAAATGATTTCCAAGAGATAAAAGCATCTTGTCTTAAATCCTACTTGACTCAGCTCTATGCCTGTAAAACGATACATCTGGCAGAGATGCAAGTGAGGCAGTAAAAAAAATGTAGATAAAAGCAACTATTTACAGAGCAGAAAACAAGAATTGACTTGAAGTGAACAGAAACTATAACTCAGCATGGCAATGATCAAAGTCATGTATTGGACATTCATCCGATCAATTAACTGCAAGTGGTCTGTGCAGCTTTTGCACTGACGAATGCAGACAAACTCCTCCCCTCCAAACAGTACTCCATCCATACAATTAGCTGGGAAGAAGGCTTCTTCTTCTTACAGTGGATGTATGGATTTCACGTATTACCCTGCCCCCACTCCCATTACAAAGTGCTTTCGCTGGAGAGATTAAGCTCTCTGGAGAGTGCACACATGTCGGGCCACAGCTGCCACGCCCACACACATCTAGATGAAGGGATACAATGAGAGGCCTCTCTGTGGCACAGCTGATGATCAACCGAGGATTTCAGGGAGAGAAACGTGCTACACAGAAAGAATAAAGAGAGGCAACTAACCTCAGTTTGACTAAGAAAAATACTATTTGAAGTCCATTTATATTAATTTCTTATCCAAGAATATTCTCAGTTGGAATGTAGCCCAAATGTGATTCAATTTTTATAGCCACCTTAAGTTTAACTGGTGCAATCTAGTAAGGGGTAGGCCTGGGTTGGTAGTGGTATCAAAGTATACCAAGGTTTTGTTTTCTTCTTTTAAAAAAATGTTTCAAATTTGAAACCGCTAAAATTTTCCATCATAATGTTTAAACCTCTTTTAATGAGGCACCAGAGAAAGTGCCAGAAAGAACAGTTTTCTCTTGTTTTATGGAGAGTCGGCTAATTCAGTGCCGCCCCTCCCTCACTGGCTGCTGCGCACTGCCAGTCAGCTGTCTAAAAGAACTCTAAAAGTGCTTTCACTGGAAACCCCTCCCTGGAAGATAGCGAAGACAAAGTGAGACGTTTAGAGACGTTTCCAGGGACTATTTGACTCATTTCAACCCCAGACTTAAAAATCTGAGAATAAGGAAAATTGAGTGACTTTACTTTTCAAAGCAAGTTATCAGCTTTTCTTTCCAGGTTTACTTATAAAAAATTAGGGACTCCTACAGCTTTAAGCCAGAAATATTTTTGCTATTATATTAGATACAATGCAAGAACAACAAAAGCCTATGAAAACTTACATCTTTGCAGGCTGCTATTTGGTTAATGTACTCTCCATCTGTGAATATGATGTTTTGTCCATCTGAATGTTGACCTGCAGCAAGAGAAAGTGAATATAGTGTTGCTTAAGTTAATGTTGGCCTAAATTAACAGCACACTGATGAAAGCATGTAAATGTGTTTCCTTTGTACCTGGCATGGTGACCACCCCCTCATGTTCCAGGGTCTCAGGGTTGATCTTGATAGCCGACATACTGTGGTTACTTGTGTCCCGATACAACAAGTACCCCTGAGGACACAACACAGACTATTACTCATCTCAAATTACAGCCGACTCTTCTTAACAGGACAGTCACAAAACATGGAATTAGGATTTTAAGTATTTAAGATCTTCTTAAAAACAGATTGCTTGATATTTGTTATTATTAAACAATATTCAACAGCAGGGGACACCAGTTACCTCAAAATGTGACATTATTGTCAAACTAGAAAAAAAAAAAATAATAATAATTGCACTAACTCTGCAGGTACTGTCTGAATGCCATAAACTGAATGGGTGGACTGCTTTCCTAAAAAAGCCAAACTGAGACAGAAAGAATTGCTGAACTTTAAGTGGCAGCCGTAAAAATAGAAGCGTTATCCCAAAAGTAGGTTTACAAAAAAATAAGTTTACAATTTTTAAATCATAATGAATTCCTCAAAAAACAAATAGTTTGCATGTTAGCCTGAAATTAGCCAACAATAATTCAAGTGCTAAACATGACACTAGCATTAGAAAAAAAGCAACTGCCAGCTAACATGCTAAAATCGTCATGCAAGCTGACTTTAGTGACCACAAGCTAATATACAAATAGAAAGTACTTTGCAGTGTTACCCATTATGCTAATGTTAGCTTAAGAGAAAATATGCTGATACTATAAAAATAGGAAAATATCCCAGTGGACTTTCTTGCTTTAAGTAAGAGAAGGTAATTAGATTTAAAACAGTTAAATGTGTTTGATTTAAAATCTTCTCCAAAGAGATTTCTTTTAAAAAAATAAACAGAAAATGTAAAAAAAAAACAACAAAAAAAACGAAACATTTATTTTAAGCCATGACTTGAAATATTTGAACAACTTGATATTTGATACTTCACAGCAAAATGTATCGTATGAAATGTTTTTCCAAAGTTTCTTATGCAAAACAGAGGCTGCTGCACTACTTACCTGAGCAAAGCCAAGCCATGACCTTTTCTCCTTTCGATTCCTGATTCGAGACGTGGAGTTGTAAACGTGTCCCTGTGGGAATTTGAGCTTCGGTGAGTTGACGACCTCCACTAATGCTTTGTTGAATGCAATTTTTTCTAAGCTGCTGAAGTTACATGTTGTGGGTTTCTCCTAGTCTCTTGTCTTGTGTTTCAAATGACTAGTCAGAAGCAAAATGCATGTTGAAGAGTCACATACCCTGACAGTACCACTATATCCAGATCCAGCTTTGTAGAGTCCATCCTTGCAGAGCAAATACAGGAAGGAACCATCAGTCTGCAGAAGACAGCGCTCGTCTTCGTCGATGGACGCTTCCTTTAGGACCCATTTGTTCATCAGTGCAGCACGTTTGATGCCATTTCCAAACCAGTCCTGGATTTGGATTTTCCCCACCAGGACAGCCTGGACACTTCGCTGTAGTGCATTCAATATGGTGGGGACCTGGTTTGATTGAACAAGACAAGCAGGTAAATCTCTGATTAGAAAAAAGTGGGACTTCCTGATATTTAGATTTGCAGCAGATCTGAGTCAAACTGCACTAATGTTTAGTGAACTGTGGTTTTCTGTATGTTTACATTTCTGCCTAAATGCATTTTCACACAACCTGACACCATTACCATGAAAGCGACTACAAATGCCACTGATCTCACAGATGTTTACCCACGCACAACCAAGCGGCACACTTTGCACCACTCCGCCTGACATTGTGATGATTCACAATCCAGGCAATACATAAAATATAAGCGTATTTATTAGCATAGAGAGGGATAAAATTTGTGAGTCTAGAGAGGTCCGGTGAATCCTTGATCAAATGTAGAGTTCTTTCTACATACAACTGAAGCTTTTTTTTGTTGTTTTTCTTTCTTTTAGGCCAAAACAAAACAAGAAAAAGAGGATGCAGAAGCTGAAAGGTAGACGCAAAAAGAAGATTAGCTAACCGACAGAGGAATTCAAGCAGAGTAACAAGATTAAAAAGGAGAATCAGAGCAGCTTGACATTTTGCAAACTCAATTTGAGCTGTCCAGACGTGGCCCTGAGCATCTGTGCACAGAGGAAATGGACGAAGGCAGCTAAAGTTATGCTGTCCAGAATGGACTGGGGAAAAAAAAGAAAACTTTATGCTCCACACAACTTTTATTCATGTTTATCGTTCATATTTGGGACCAGGTGTCTTCTTATGAAATATGCTCTGAGATACCTTCTGCAGGTAGATAATCACTATTGGAGTCACTCAACAGGAGACTGGCAAAAATGATCCAAAAAATTTAAGATGGTTGCTGTATAATTGTGAGAATAAGGCTGATTTGTCAAGACAACCTTCTAATTTGAACCTGTTGAAGTAAGCTTAGTAGTTAATTACCTGTATAGTCTGACAGGCATGGCTACCATTATTTGTGAGAATGGCAGAAACAGCCTGCAGGATTTTGCCCGTATCTCCCCATGCCACCACGAGGCTGAAAAGGCATGCACAGGACAGAGCGGTGATGTCCTGTCCAGTTGGGTCATTGGGCCCTGTGCTCCGGACCGTGGTCTCTAACAGCAGCTGGAAAAGAGACTCTAAAAACAACAAACAAAAAAAAAATAGTGGAGGATTTAGATACCGTATTTTCCGCACTATAAGGCGTACCGGATTATAAGGCGCACCTTCAATGAATGGTCTATTTTAGGACTTTTTTCATACATT